CATGTTGTTTGCTTTGGTTTCGGAATCGTTCCCAAGCCCAGATACGATTGTTTATTTTGTTGATGATGACGACGACGACGGCGGCGAAGGCGAGGGCGATGGCGGTATGCACAGCGCGTGTGCATAGAAAAGTCATAATTTTTCATTGTACGCCGCTTGGAAGCCTGAAATGCCGAAAAGTAATTTACCTCTCAATTTCAATAAATAAAATTGTTTCTTTTTCGCGTTCAAGCGAAAAAACATCGAAAAAACATTATTTCGGCATGTTTACTTTGTTTCGCTTTTATTTTATGCTGTGATTTAACCGGATTCATTTTCACTTCATACGGTGTGAAATGAAACAAATATAATGGAAAAGGTGCATGATAGCTGACTACCAAAAAATGGCTTTTATTTTCTGCTGTAGCAAAAACTCGCACAATTAAACTGACACACTGATTAAGTACAAATATAGCAACTCACTATATGTGGACGATGACGATGACGACGACAACGACAACGAAAACAACAGCAACGGCGATCGCAAACATATGAGCACATACGATAAATCTCTCTTCGGGTCATTGTATAAGCATAAATGAATTCGAATTACGCAATTACATAATAACTGAAGTCACTCGCTTGAATGGTGGCACCATGGGCATCTTCAGTTTTCTCGAAAACTGAATCAATCCACTGGAACAGCAAAAAGCATGGTATCGTTGAAGAAACATAGAAATGCTAGATTGAGAAGCAGAAAAAGACCAAACTTGGTTAATTGTATGAGGACGCTTAGCGAGCAATGATCTCACATACTACGAACTGAATGATGATAAATGTGTAATTACAACATTGAGCGCCCATTAACATCTCTCACATCGATTGATGGTGCTTCCCTATTCCAACATACGGAACCATTTTTCAACCGCATCAAACTCTCGTAATGCGCACGGCGCGCCGAATGTAATGGCCATTTTGTGTTTTTCAATTTAATTTAATTTCTAGTAAAATGAAACGTAAAAATTGTAAATCACGCACCGCACATCGCACCCATTCGAACAGCCGAGAGTGTCGATGAACAACAACGAAAGAAGAAAAAAACTGGAAATAAGCGTAGAAAATTACTTTTTCAGACTCGCGCTGATTTATTGCGCATTGTGTATTGGTGAACACGTTTCCCTTTCTCTTGAGACTGGATTTTATTCGATGAGTATTCGCGCGGCTCAATCGTTTTTTCTTTTCGTTTACAAGATCAATGAGCACCATCACCATAATTCACGTGTGAATCAACGAGCGAAAATTCGCTAGAGAAATGATCGGAGAGTTTTTTTATGTGTGCCACACCTGACCTTTGACGTACATTTGACCAAAATCAGGCGGAAAAAGTGAAAATAAATTGCAATTTTGATTTGGAAAACGATTTCTGGTTGTCTCATTGCGGTCGCATAGTAATTACCTGAATGTCGACTCTCTTTTGGCATTAAGCGCGACACATGTGAAAAATATTCCATTTATCCCGTTGAACAGGCCTTTCGGATCACGACAACAATTTTGAACCGAGAGTTCCAACTCCAGAAATGTCACAATCATTAAAGCATTTCTCTCTGTGAGACTTTGAACATTTATAGCATTTCTATTGAAGAGCTATTTCCCCGTTTGTAGCGTGAGATGTCATTGTTTCGCACAGCGAATGTTGTACCTCCATTGAAGCGTGTTCGATTCAGTCGAAGCGGGCAAACAACATTGCGAATCGACACATTCATTGATTCACAAGTGAGTCACATTCATATTCTTAGAATATTAGCATTCCAGGTAGACGAGAATTTTTATTACTCACCACTTTCAGTCTCACTGCGACGATCGCATCGTAGTGAGTCGCAAATCGAACAGAAAAATATGATCACTTTATGAAGTACATGATGTGATGGCATCAAAAATAAATCACTGCACAAAAATGGAACAAGCAGAATGAACACGACTTTCATTCAAATCTTGACGATTTTTCAACACTTAACTCTGTTCATTGTATTGCGTCACTTTGAATAGTCGGTGTGTGACTTTTTTTCAAGGTTGATCGCGCGACAGTGACATTCCATAATCGCATTGTATGCGAACAGACGCGCAACGAAAAGAGTTTTTGCGATCGACCAAAACAAGATGCCAATTGGACATCGCTGTTTTTGGTCAACAAAAATAAAACTCTGTTTATGTTTCCATATATTACCACAACACACAGTGGACAATTTTAATAAGTCAACAAGAGAGAGACGAAACCGCAACGGCCACCATGTGCCTACTGCATAATTGGAACATACGTGTATACGGTCGCACAATTCGTAGGTCGTGGTTTTTCGATGACATGAACCGAATTACTTGTTATTGTATGCTTATTACGGCTAAATTTATTCAAAAATGCATTTTGAATTCAGTTCATTGTATGCGAATGTGGATGCGATTGATCGGGCGAAAAAAAATTGTTATTAAGAAAACGAGTGAGTCGGCGAAGAAATGTTATTTGCATAGGTCTTAACTTAAAAATCGGAAATATCGATAAATGTTCGCATTTTGAAAACAAAACGATCATTTGAAATTAAGTCAAGAATTTCTATGGCAGTCCATTAGAGAGTCACGATCCAGAATACAAAGGATAACCGAATAGAACATTTTAAAAGGCAATTCTAACAAAAACCATTAGAATAGGTGATAAAATTATGAAAGAAGAAACCTATTTGAAATGGTAACGTATTCAAATTTCACCGGATTTAATCCAAAATAACAGTGACAATGAAGCGGTGTTTTCAATTCATTTGTTTGTTTGTTAGCTTGTGTTTCTTTTTTCATCGCCACATGACCGACCACAACATTTCCCGCTTTTCACTTGATGTACCGTTGGCTCGGGTACCATCCATTTGTTTGCGATCTTATTTCTTTATGTTGTGAACAAAATGGGAATTTTGTTTCTATAAATACACAGTTGGATTAATTAGGATGAGAAAGAACAGTTACTCGAAATGGAGCATGAAGTGAAAATGTTGTCGGTGCTGCTGCTGAGGTTCTCGCTTTTGCATACTTAATCATTTCCGGATTAGTGAAGTGTGTTCTTGTCACATGATCCGTTCGGGCCACTGTCATCGAGCATTTCGATTTTTTATTCACGTACTGATGCTGTTGTGGATCAACAACTACCATGCAGTGCATCGTAACGAATAACCCATATTGCCATTCATTGTTCCAACGTGTTTATTGTCTGATATTGAAATTTCTACGGTGTATCTTTTGTTTCACTCTATAGAATACCAAATTAGCAACATGTATTGAATACATTGTATTCAATACTAAAAAAAGATTCAAAACAAAACAAAACACATATGGGACATTCCGTAGAACGTATTTAAATCACTATTCTCCCACCCAAAATGAAAAAAATTTATTCGCAAATGAAAAAAAATAGAGTTTTTATTCATTTAAATCTGTAGATTTGAATTTCTTCGCATACGTAGATCATCATTTCCGTCATATTGTCAACTACGAGAGCAATAAAAACAACGATCAACAGTTGAATCTGTTGAATTTAACACTTCATCATTTTTCATTACCATACGAACCTTGATGCCCCTATATCTGAACTACTCGCTTTGCATATCGACTAAAACTTATACGAACACACCAAAACCTGGCTCGAATTTAAAAATTTATCACTACATTGTCAAATTCATTCACGTTGAGAAGATCGAGAAAAAAAACAACGACGAATGATATCACCCATTCTAGCTTCTGTTAGTCAACTTCTGTTTCAAGCATAACACCTCAGCTCAACGCATGTGAAACACATTCACAAACACTTCATTGAAGTTGCGGTTGAGTCATCATTGATGTTCAAATGAACAAACATATGAGTAAAATCATCTTCACTGGAAGAGAACAAGACACGAAATTCTTCGTATCGATGATAAACTCAGTTGGTTCATGGTTTTTCGCCGAAAATAATCAAGAATGAATGAAACACGAAAAAAATGGCAAAAAACAAATTTTATAAAGGAAATTGGGTTTTTCCATAATTTTTATATCACAATTTAAATGTCGACATCAACATTGGCAACAGCAGCAGCCTAATGGTGCTCATGCATGTAAAACAAAACCATTAGTAACGCTAAATTTCAGCTCAACTCTAAATGCTTTCTAATTTCGCATTTCAATCTGTCCACAATGTATTGAAATAACATTTACTCGACAAATTGCCCAGAATATTCTTCTATATTACATGTTTGTTTATTCATTTCAGTTTCTAAATCATTATAATGCTCTTTCATTTCGATTATCATATTCGGTTCATTTACTCTCATTGTTCATTTAACATTTTACCCGCAAAACAAATGTCTTTTCATCATCGATCCCATTTTACAAATGAGCTCAATTGATTGGTGTGATGATGCACGGTATACAACATTCCATTGTGGTTTCATTGTTTGACCAAAAGACGTCCGCAAAGTTCGATCGACGATAGCTTCTATTAACTTCTGCTTAAAGTTATCGTCATCGTTTAATTTCCGATCCGTATTGTTGCAAACAGAAGAATTAAGCAATTATTTGGTCGTCTTTCGTACAATGTATTCTCTATGATTATTTTGTGATTAACCCTGCTAATGATACATTTACGACACTGAACACACCATTAGAATAAAACTTTGTTGTAGAACGTAACGCAAGAAAAAAAATTCCCATAGGGCTTTAGATTTTGTGATGCAAAACGAACAAATTCATTTGAACAGTTGTAGTGCATTGAAATTGTTTCTAATTTAACGTAAGCCGAGTTCGTTTGTAACATATATATAACACATACAACATATGCACGACTAATGAAATATATCGCCAAGGTAATCATGGCAATGTTATTCGAATCAATTATAATTTGTTTTGTTCATACGAATCGTGAGCATATTTCGAAATCATTAAATACAATGAAATAAATATGAATCAAACAATTCACACATTTTTTTCTTTTCGTTTTCATTTAATTACAGGTATATGTAGCTGCTCAAGATGGTTCATCAACGGAATTTTCACCACAAGTTTCGGCCACATGCCGAACGGGTGTCATGAATATCAAGGTTGGATTTAACAATACGTACACAGGTGCAATTCATACGCGAGACCATCGATCGACGTCGTGCATGCAATATGGAGATGGATCGAATCAAGTCAGTCTCAGTCTGAACTTGTTGGCCAGAGAAAAAGATCCCGACTACTGTGGTATTCTGGTACACAACGTGAGTGGTGATGTAAGAACGTGCACATTTATTAACCAAAATAGATTGAAGCTTCGCTTAGCGGCTTTTTATTCTCCGCCGTTTCTAATAAGAACAAAAACAAAATTCTATAATAAAGACTGCGATTAAAATTATTAATCAAATGCATTTAAACAAAGCCTAACAATTCAACTAAATCACCATTTGCAACGCCCAAGCGCATTTTATATATATGATATCGAGAGAGAGAGAGAGAAAAAAAAGAGGCACCATTTTTTCTTGCACACATAAACATATAGTACAGTATTCGATTTGCGAATGGTTGGGCCGTATTTTATATTTAATTGACAATTCCGCAAAAATTCCCAATCACGTAATTCATTGCGTAATCAATCAGTGTCTTCGCTTGAATGTTCCACAGCAATGCACTATGTGGCTATTCACATTCTGGGCTTGATCGATTATGCATTTGGTATAAAAACAAAACGGCATTTTTCGTTCAAAACCAATCCAAGCGTGAAAAATTCGACAATTTTTGTCGAGGCTTTGTAGTAATAGGTTCTGGTGCTGCAGTTTTATCAATAGACTCTCATTTTATTTCATTCAATCGTAAATCGAACTTATTGGTTCAACGAATTCACCGTTTACCGTTTGAATTTGGACGAGAGCACAAGTGCGCGGACGAGCGATCGCATACAAGCCACACCATGCGGAACATATGTCAGAGACAACAGAGGAAATAACATGAACATTACGGTTTTATGTTTTGCTTCTTCGATTTGATTTTTAATGTACTGGATAAACATCAACGTTTTTTAACGACAGTGGTATGCCCGTCGAGGCAATTAAACTAGCATTTATTTTTCATCAAATCGAACGTAACGTTTTATTGTTTTTCAATTTTTATTTTTCTGGCCACGATGACGATGGCATATTTTTGAGCTGTGCACAAAACATGGACGAAAATCCGAGATATTGTTTTGATTTTTGTGAGTCAACCGGTTTTTGAAAGATACGATGCAGAACAACATAGTTTTATGCTGTGGCTGATCGTTTCAGTAGAAAAATATGATCATGAATTGGTCACGTAGCGCTCCTAATTATTATCGTCGACTCCATAATATCCACTAAGACGGTCTAAAAAAAACGCTAACCGAATTTAATTGAACTAACCGAACCCAAATAGAACACGATTTTTTATTGCGAGTTTGCCTTTTATTTTGCTTTTCTTTAGCGAACCGAAGAACGATCCGTACAATTGGCGGTTCGAGTTCATCGCACACTTGAACTGGCCGACGATAAATTTTATGTGATCACTTGCGGTAAAGCAGGATTCAATCGCGACGAAAACTCCGTTGTTGTTCTCAAGTTCTTGGAAAATCAACGACGCGTTCGTGAAACCGTTTACGGCAGAGAATATGCCATTAAGGCTGAATTAACGCAACCAAACGGAACACATGGCATCAAAGTGAAAAATTGCTTTGCATTCAACAAAAAGAACACCAGCATTCCACTCATCGATAACAAAGGGTAAGACAACGGACAATAACGTTATAATTGGCTGTTTATGCTATTAGCACCCGGTTCTAATTGATTTTATCCTACAGATGCCCAATAGATCCACTCATCATCTCAAGATTCGAAACTAATGCTGATCGCACACAAGCCACAGCTATTTTGAAATCAATGTTCAAATTCCCAGAAGGTAAATGTTGACGAAGATTAGATTTACTGTTCATTGATCGAAGATTTCTTTTCCTTTTTTCGTTTTAATTTATCTGTTTCGGAACAAGCGATCTGAATCACAATTTTTATTTTTTATTTCCCCAAAGGTTCGGAAGTGCACATTCAATGTGATGTAGCTCAATGTGTGGGAGTCTGTGCTGAAGATGTATGCCCTGGTGATGTGTTGAGTGCTTCTTCTGTGAAAGGTGGAAGAGTGGGCAACAAAGAAGATGGATCCTCACTTGCGGCCACAACCGTATTCGTTTTAGACCCAGATAAGGCACCTTGTAGGTTTTCAGCGCAATCGGTTCCATTTTTTATTCTTCTTCGATTTTTCGTCATTTTTTCAAAGAAAAACTTTTGTTCAATGGACACGGTTCATTAGTGTTCATTGAATACTGTTCATTATTGCTGTGGATAAAAATCCACAAATTCAACTCATTTCTTAACTAGAACTAACTTATGATTCCATACGTTTCGACTCAAAAATGTTTGCGTGTGTATTTACTTTCAGTGCTTTCGCCTGCGTGTGAAGAAGGAATTCGACCATCATGGTTGCTCTGGCTGTGCATAACACTGGGCATTTTATTCCTAATTATGCTGCTGATGAACATCTTCTTATGCACTGCAATGAGCTGTAGTTGTGCACGAACAGAAGTACGTATTGAATTTACCTAAAGGACTTAGCAATTGAAACTAAAATATACTGTAATTCCTCATTTAAAATAGATAATCGAGAAAGAGCCGTCAATAATTGAAGAGTATGATCCGTATCGCAGTTGGCACGGAAGCCAATATGGTTCGCGATACTCGCTGCACGGACGTGACGGACACAAAGGCTACACAAGCGGTGGTTCAACGATACATTCGAATAGGTCTGATCGATATTAAATCAAATCATAAACAAACAAACAAAAAACTGAAAATTCGATCGCATGAAGCTCATCCCGAAAAGCATACAAACCAAACGTATTCTCCTTTTCTTAGAAATCCAAAAAAAAATTGAAAAATTCTCTGTTTAGTCATTGAATCAAGAATCGATCACTTGGTGCTCTATTGTGTTAAGGCTTTTTTTTCTTGCTTTGCGAGCCTGTTCGCATCATTCAAATCATATCTACACTTCAACACTTTCGACACCATTATTCTATGTTCTTTGTTTCGTTGCCGCTTCACGCCGTTTATGTAAAAGGAAAACAATTTATTTGCTTTATTTCAGAATATTTAACATATTTAAACAATATCTTAATAAAAAAATAGCTGTAACTTTTTTGTAACTGCACCACAAAAAAAACCGAATTCAAAAATCCACACATTTTGTGTTGATCACCTTCTTCTCTCATCACCACTTAACGTTGTACAGCGAAAACAAACCCTAAAACGAATCTAATGATTAAATCTAACCAAAATGAAAACACGTACCCGGGCATTACTAATGATTCTAGCATAATTTTTTGGACATTTTATTTTGATTTAAAATTTCTGTGTTTTTGAGAACTAATTTTCGTGAATTTGAACCAAACTGAATTTTGAAGGTCGTTGCCAAATGACACCGATCACTATGCAATCGTTCATTCAAGGCCTGGTTCAAGACACTCTGGAATCGTTAACGGTGGTCATCGCAGCTTACGAGGAAACCATTGATAGTTCGGTCGCACGCAACCTGCACCAATGCACACACACACACATATATAAACAAACCTACACACAATCTCTGTAAACAAATCTCCAAAATCGCAACCGAACGCACACAAAATTATTACCTACAACAAAATTGTCTAAATTTGTTTTTGGGTTAATCAACTGGGGAACAACAACCAATCAAACTTATCAACTAAATTTTATGTGTTTGTTTTTTTTCAAACACAAAAAAATTGTACATAAAAAAAGCAATGGAAATTTTAATCTTTAAGCATTTTTCGGCCTGTATTTGTTTCTAATTATTCATCATCTCTATCCAAAGCTACTCACATTTTCTGTGTTCGTCTTTGATCATGCACTGTCACTATGTAAACAAAAATGAAAAAAAAACAACAACCAAAACTCACGCGATCACTCTATAATCGTACTGATTTTTGAACTAACCAATTTTTGATTGCACCAATGCTGCTGTTTGTTTCTCTTTCAAATTCATGTGCAATTGTAAATATTCTTTCCTTTCCTTAAATCACTTCTACAAATTCCTTCTACTTTTTTTGGAGAAATAAAAAGATCTTGAAGAAATTTGTTTTTAAGTTGAGTATTGTTGATCATCTCGAATTTTGATCCTTTGATCGCGCTCGAAATATCCAAATCGAAATCAGTTTGTTTTATTTACTTTTGTGACAATAAAAAAAATTTCGAACTTTCCACAACAAACTGCTTTCGTGTCGTAGATTCTAAGTCATTGTTATGTATGAATTTAGGCTAAGTTCTAGAGTTTAATGCAAGTAAACAACTAATTGGATTTGATGCTAAACAAATAATTGTCAATTACAAATAAAACAATTTTATTTAATTAAAAAAATACGAATAGAAAAAAGATAAATGTTTTTTTTTCACATCCAATAGCTTCACACTATGTGCATCAGATATAAAATTCTAGATCCATGAATTTCTCATTCATCACAAAATCGCTTGGAGTCATAACTTTTAAATCTGATATGGAAAATTATTTGAATATAAATTGAAAATTGAAGCGGTCTTTAGACGAACAACTAAATCACCGTCTGATTTCTAACATGAAATTTACCATTACAAGCAGAGTTAAATGTAGATTTTATTTTCGAAATTTCCATGATCGAATTTCCCGTCTAAAAAGCTTATCTATAGTGCTATGGGAATAGTATAAGTGATTATTTTTTGTTTTGTCAACAAATTCAACAAATTACATTTTCTTTGATTCTGCCAGAAGTCGTTTTTTTGATTAAGTTCAAATGTGTACGGAAATTTTATTTCATGGGTTTTTGATCATGGTTTTGTTTGAAAGAAAAATCTTGCTCTCAAAAACATTGGCTTTTTTATTTTGTCTTACATCGAAGTCTTTTTAAATTTAAATGCTGTAGTATAAAATTCCCCGAAGGAACACGGGAGTGAAAAAAACGAGAGATGACAATTTTTGATGCAATCATTTTCTCCGTTTTATCGACAGCACCAGGCCATTCTTTGGTGATAGTCCAAATGGAGATGATTTGATTTTCATGGGGATTTCCGTTTGAGGTGTACTTCTGAATGTGAACTGGCACAGCATGTAATAAATGATTAGTTTGACTTCCATCAAGGCGAACCGGCCGCCAATGCAAGCTCTCGGTCCCATCCCAAAGGGTACATAACGGCCTGGTTTTATGTTTTTGCGATTTTCTTCATTAAAACGTTCTGGGTCAAACACCTCCGGCGAGGGAAAATAGTTTGGGTTGTGGTGAAAACAATAGATCGGGACCCACACATGATCACCTTTCTCAATGTGCACATCAACCTTGTCGCCGTCAGTCAAATGAAAACGTTTTGAACAGAGCCGATCGATAAGTACAGCTGGCGAATGGATGCGAAGCACTTCATGTATAACCATGTCCAAATATTTAATTTTGTTCAACTCATCATAAGAGATGGGCTTTGTTTCCGAATTTCTTTCGACCTCGTCAATTTCATTGATTAGTCGATCTTGAATATTTGGATTTAATGCCAATTCATAGGTGACCGCCGTCAAAACCCACATGGTTGTATCAAAGCCAGCGAGAAAGAAAACAAATGCTTGCGAAATAATTTCATCGTCTGACCAAATGGAACCACGTTTCGCATTTACCAGCAAATCAATCAAATCGGAGCGAACAATTTTGTTCGCGCGTCGCGTTTCAATGTTTTGCAACACCAAATTGGAGAACACTTTTCGAATGTGCGAATCAACAAATTCGATGTGTAACTTTTCAAAGAGCCACGGAAATGCACGTAAACACCAAATTTTCAGGAATGATTTGATCGAATTCAACTGTTGTAATTTGCAGCCAGTTTCGAAAAATTCATTGTGTCGATCGACCAGCGAGTTTATCTTCAGTCCGAATGCACATGATGCAATGGTGTCGTTTGTAACGCGAGAATAAAAATCGGTAATTTCGACAGATGATTCATCACCGATTGACGGAAACTGAGTTTCAAGCAGATAGTTCTTCGCTTCAACCGCACAATCACGCACCAATTCAAACATTTGACGCATTTTTGACCCTGTAAATGCAGGTGTTAGAGTTGTACGCATTCTTCGCCACTTTTCACCACGCATCAAAAACAAAGTGTTGCCCATCAGCGAATCCATTTGTGGCTCAATGATGAATCGATGATCAACGAACGAGTCGAAATTTTTGATAGCGATGTGCTTGTACAGTTCGGGATCACGAAGCACATAAATCGGGCGCATGAAATTGAAAAAACCGGATAATCTGGGAAAAGATAGGGCAATTATTGAAACGTTCTTGAACCACAATCATCATTTAAAATGGAAAAAGTCAAGACGTTTCGCTTAAGAAAATACATTTTCCAACAAAACTGATTTCGCTTCGGATTTGGAAAAAACATTCACTAAACACTGTCGCTTGAAACTTACTTCTCATTAGGAAAGTCGTCGTATAATTTCTTGACAAACTCAATCAAATCGACCTTCTTTGTGAAGAAATCCGCTGAATTTCCGAAGAACAGAGTTGGTTTCAATGCTGGAACTCCTTTCTTCTCAAAATATTTATCGTTTTGTATTGCCCACTTATAAACCACAAAAACTGCCACCGCCATTCCGACTGTAATGTAAATGGGAAAATACTCTGAATCCATGTTCGAAGATGAATTTGTTCACTGACAATACAAGATTTTACTTCGCAAAATGAGTGCTGCTAGTTCTAAATCTGTTGATCGAATGTCACATTTTGAATTGTTGTTCGCCGTTCTTATTATATAGCAAAAAGATCGAGTTTCGAGAATCGCTTTCGTTAGATCAATCCAAAGGCGATCACTCGGTGAATTCATGCTCTAAATTAACATTTATGAATGCAGAATAACGCCTTATTTGACCCGTTTTACATACCATACAACAACTGATGAGGTCAAGATTTTACAGACTGTCTAGAGATTCATTGATTCAATGATGAAATCTAGACCCTAGAGTGTTTTCGCATCCCATTTGTGCAAGATACAATAGCACAGACGATCGCAATCTTGCAAAAGGTTGAACACGTTCTGCCGGGTTTTTAGCTATTCCATTCAAATTGCCGAATTTCACACAAAATAACATCGAACGAAAACATGTAAACAAATCAACAATAATTTGAATGGAATTTCCACGTGAACGCACAAATCCCTTATTAGAATTTAAACAAAATAGTTGCCGACAGAAATCTCTTTCCATTTGACAAAACGGTAAGCTGATATCTATCATTCCTTTTTTGCAACGTAGAACTGAATAATTGACATGATAGAAAGAAAGAAAAAACGTTTTTATTCTCGATTCGAAAGCAAAATTCAACATAATATTGTTATTTAATATCAATCTATCTCCTTTTGTCGGGCGCACAACATTTTCACAGTATACACACACAATTAGTTGTTCTGTTTGCATTGACATTAAGATAAGATTCTATCGGGTGAGTTGACAAAGTAAACATATAAACGTAAAAGTTCGCGAAGGATAAAATCCACACCAAATTCACACATGAAATGTAAATATTTGAGCAGAGATAATCGTCAAATGACGAACTATTCCACTGAAAGTACATTTAGTGTCTTCAAATGAACATAGTGTGTCAAAGAGTCGGCTGGCAAACGGTTCACACTTTGACAAACTGTCATTTTCAGTTACCTAATTAAAACCGTTGTTCCATTGTTTGTGTATAAGTTGATTGCGCTTAGTATTATTTTAATCAGCTGTTTTCAACGGTTTGAGATTGATTTTCAAATGGATGACATTAAAACAGCGAATGTGATAAGTTTTTACGAATAATATTTACTATTAGCCGCGTTGAATGTGTAACACGCTTCACTTATCGCTTGAACCGCGTGTCAATTTATTCGTCACATCGCGTGTGACTTTCTTTGCGTTAAATTGAAGCGAGTTTCGAAGAGCAAAATCGATAAAGTAAAAAAAAAAATACTTCAACAATGTTTATTCCAACCAAAGGCTTCGAATCGCCAATTGAAATTGGCGGCACAAAGGAATTGATCGAGCTATAATAAAAAGTTCGGTTGTAGGAATTGAGCAAAGTTGTTGTTTTTTTCCACATGTGATTTTTTGAGTGAATTTAAGTTTTTGAACATCACGCTTATTTTGAGTTAATTTTCTTTTCAATGTATTTATTCGAAAACACTGTCCGTGGCCAATGACAAGTCAATAGTTTTTTTTTTCTTTTTCCACCGAGATGTTGAATCAATATTGTATTGTTTATTTCAAGACCGTTGTAACTCGGCTTTTTTGTTTGATGTAGATCAGTATCTACAGATTAGTCAATAGATTCGTTTTGTGTTGCACGTAAGCGATAATGTGCTTTGTAGTATTACAAAACGTATATGGTCGTGTTTTTTTATGTGAATTTGAAAATTATTGATAACAAAAGGGAAAATAAATTGATTATGAATGAGGCAAATATTAATCAATACTTGAAATTTGTGATTAGTCAGTGTGGGAAACGCTTGTAAGACATGTCATAGTTTTTTTTAACGTCAGAAACGTGTTCAGCTCGTGTAAAAAGTAGGAATTAAAAGATGAACAACCGATTTTCGAATATTATTTTTCCAATTTTACTGCTATTTGCGGTCAATGAGTTTCGAAAGGCAATCCTTAACTTTTGGGATGCAGCTCCGACGGTTACGATAAATCTTGGGAAAATACGCGGAAAATACGCACGACTCGATTCAGGCGAGTCTTTGTATAGTTTTCGTGGCATTCGATATGCACAAGCACCGATAAATGAACTTCGCTTCGCGGTAAGGTTTGATTGAATTGAAGAAATTTAAGTTGGAAAATTACAGTAATTTAAAAAGCTTCTTTTTTAAAATCATTTTGTATTAACATTTGTCTTGATTTTACAGCCGCCAGTACCAGTAAAACCGTGGAATGGAACATTTGACGCCATTCGCGATTCACCAAAATGTCCACAGCCGGTGATAAGCGCAGCTGAAATATCCGAGGATTGTTTGCGATTGAATGTGTATACGAAAAATATTTCGAGTGTTGCGAATAAGCCTGTGATTGTTTTCATTCATTCGGGTGGATTTTACGAATCATCTGGAAGAAGCGACGAATTTGGGCCAGAATATCTAATTCAACGTGATATAGTTTTAGTTACAATTAACTATCGTCTGGCAGCTCTTGGATTTTTGAGCACAGGAACCAAGGAAGCTCCAGGAAATAATGGATTGAAAGATCAAGTTGTTGCGTTACGATGGGTGAAGGAGCAAATAAAATCATTCGGAGGTGATCCCAATTCGATAACAATTATGGGATATAGTGTCGGTGGGATTAGCGTTACTCTACATATGGTTTCGCCAATGTCGAAAGGTAAATCAAATTGAATCAAATAAATAAACAGAAAGTCACTCAAGATACAACTAAATGCCGTTTTCGTTGCTTGTACAGGTCTATTCCATAAAGCAATCGTAATGAGTGGAGCCGCTACCGCTCAATGGGATGTTGCAACAAGTCAATTGGACATGGTGAAAAAACAAGCTCGATTGCTTCATTGCCCCGATCATAACATCAGAGTTATGTTGAAGTGTTTGAGACAGGTTTGCATTTTCTTTTTCAATTTCCTTTTTTATCGAAAGTTCTTGTTCAAACACGAGAATGTTTCATTCAATTCAGACAAATATAGCCGACATCGGTAATAGTTTGAACGGTATGTTTGAGTATGGTCCAGGCAATCCGATTTTAATGTGGATGCCCGTTGTCGAGCCTGACTTTGGTCAAGAGCGATTTCTAACCGAAGATCCAGTAAAACGATTCAAAAGAGGAGACTTTACTCGCGTTCCAGTTCTAGCTGGCATCACTAAATATGAATTCTTGCATCCGGCAATCAGTAAGAGATGAACTTTGCGAGATAAAACAATTGCAAATCTCAGCATTTTATTGCTAACAAAAAAATTCCTTTTAAATTACAGCTGTCATTCGGAATGAAACCCTCCGAAATGAAATGGATACGAATTTTTCGAAATGGGCACCACGTTGCTTCTTGTACGAACGAGACACTCCAAAGTCGAAACAAATTTCGGAGCATTTGAGGCAACATTTCGTGAAAGAACAAATTGAAGATAATCGATCGTTGCTGAATCTGAATAATGTAAGACAAGATCTTTCCTTTTTGACGTGTTTATAACAACTCTTATTGTAAGTCATCAAAAAATTATCGAATTCTCCAATTTTCAGCTATTCGCCGATGGTGTCATTGGTTTTGGAGTGCATCGCTTCGTTAAATTGGCGAGCGCATTTACAACAGTTTATTATTATCAATTTAACTATGCGGCACGCTATAGCTACACCTACTACCCCGATGATAAGCCCTTTGGAGCCGTTCATCATGACGATTTGTTGTACTTATTTGTGAACTTGAAGAAAGCGCCTCTTTTCACTGAAAATGATTCTGAATATATAATGGTGCAACGTTTGACACGTTTTCTCACGAAATTTGCTATGGACGGGTATGGAAAAAATTAGTGATTTTGTCACTTTCACCGAACCTTCTGTCGTTACCTGTGATTTCTGATCAAAAGATTTGTTTTCATCAATTATTTTTCATTTTTCAATTGTTTTTGTAGGAACCCCAATTCAAACACAGATCGATATTTGCAGAATATCATTTGGAGTCCGATGCACGTGGAACAATTCAATTATTTAGACATTACGGATTATCCAACAATGAAGGATCATTTGAATATTTACCGCTATGCCATATGGGATCGACTATTTCCCATCGAAGAAACAAATGATGCAGAAGAACTGACCACTGAAGAAGACGAAATTTATTAATTCTCAATTAATCGAAATAAGAAGTTTTTTTTAGTCTCTGTTACCCATTTCACAAATTAGTATTACAGTTGTGCTGAGAGTGAATTTTTTTATTGGGATACAATCATATAAAGATTAAGTTGAAAGCCGGATATATTACATATTGATTCGAAAAGAAACTACAAATAAAAAACACAATTCAACTATTTTTAATAAGCAAATGATTGAACATCTATTTTTTACATCGCATTTATCATTAAATAGTTTTAAAAGTTTCGTTCTTCGTCAATTTGCAAAATTCGTGGCGTTTCACCAAGAATCGGCATTTCTTTGAACGATTCGAAATTTCTCAGTTTTCTTTTGATGAACCATTTCCTCAATTCACCATAGAGAATAAAAACGAATGCAACTATTAACACTGATATGATTCCATGAATCATTTTTGGTAACAAACTGTCACAGTCGTTGTTCCAACGTTATTAACTGGTTACACAATTTTTCGTTATAATTTCAAACGTTAAATTCGTTTAAACCAAAAACCGTTACTGTTGAAACCAGGACTCAGAGTAGTTGCAAACCGCAGAAACAACTGATTTCTGGTGCAACTCGCATGCGTATTTATACAATTCTTTACCAGATGAATTAATGCATCTTCATGACGCGATCACTCCAACATCTCGTTGATTTTACGCAGAAATATTCACTTGTAGAATAAAAGAAATACAACTACTTGGATTGGTGGTCAGCACAAGAGTGATTTGAATAAGTGATTGAATTTATTATTCATGTTCATCAATATTCAGGCATACATATACATGTATGCTACACCTATCAATACTGCACTATCAATACAACTTTTACTTCTCAGTGTCAACTAATCAAAATAATATGATATAATAAAATGCGCATCAATTTTTGTTACTTTAGTGGGTTTCTTTGTCTTTTCGCTTTCAGTGATAACTTCTTTAACATTTTTAGTTTTATCATTATTTTTCGTGTCATTATCAAAATTACACGACGCTAAAACGGTTTTTAAATAATAAGTTTTGATATGCGATTTACATAGCCCAACTGTTTGCTGTACTGTTATCTGGTCATCTGTAACTTTGAATGCTCCTTCTGCACGTAATACCTGAATATTTTTATTACCCAACTTATTTGCCTCTTCAAACAAATTGATGAAATCATTTCGTTTAATACTTAGCAGTTTAATTTTAGACAAGTGCGTGATGCGAAGCTTTGAATTTACTCTGATTGTTCAGTTTGCACATGCTGAAAAACTTAAAATGATAAAATGAAAAGGCAATGGAAATGATGATCATGATTGTCAACTAAAGTTCACGAAAAATGATCGGTAGTCAAAGATCGGTAGAAAAAAATAATTGCTTGCTTAAAAAAGGAATGATGAATTTGTCAATTAAAGTTGAATAATAAGCGTTGATGTATAATTAAATTTGACCCTCTTGCACAAAAAAAAATGGCGATTCCAAAAAAAAAAAAACGATATAAATGGCAAATTTTGCAATGAATAATAATTTATTATTTAATGATTTGCAAAGTTTCTTTCTTCGAGTTGAAGTGCATTTTCGTTGGTTATTTCCATTATGATATGCGATTCGAAATGAATATCCTCAAATTTCAACTTAGTGGTAAATTTGTATCGTCGCAGTAAATTGGCTAGAACTATTTTAGCTGACATCATTGCGTATTTCATTCCAATACAGTTTCTTGGTCCACCTGAGAATGGAATGTAGCTGAACGGGGGTCGTTTTGCAATATTATCTGGCAGAAATCGGTCCGGATCAAATCCAGTGGCGTTTTCGCCCCAAATTTTTGGATTTCGATGTAAATGCATGATATTGATGATGACATTCGCGCCCTTTGGTATGATTCCCCTTCCTACTTCAATGTCAGCAGACGGTTTTCGGGCGATAAACGGAATCGGTGGAATCAATCTCATCGATTCTTTGATAACGCGTTCCAAATACGACATTCTAACCAAATGACCATGAGTCACATCACAATCGACCGATTCGAAAACCGATCGCAGCTCTTCAACGACTAATTCTTGGTGATTTTGATTCATGGCAAGCATCAATAGAGTGCCAAACACTGTGGTCGATGACGTATCTACACCAGCGACTATGAACAATCGCAGATGCTCCAAAACTGTTTGATGAGTGAAAAAACCTTCTCGTTCTAGGATCATACACTTTTCGATTGGATTTGCTGTATTTTCTTCTTTAATTTTATCCAAATAATCGATACCTTTTTCTCTTATTTCTTTCACTTTTCGCTCGTATACCATTTCAAGCGATTCGTTTGATTCGTTCACCATGTATTGTTGCTTTCGGCCAACATTCGACCAGTTAAATATCCAATCCAAATGGTACCAAAATCGAAAAATTCGATACTGTACGATGCCCATGATTGATCTCATATGTTCACTGATTAATACCCAATGTTTGTCTGATTGCGCATTAACGTTAATATCCATTAGAGTTCTTAAAACTGTATCCATATGACCGACAAAAATTGTTTCATACAAATCCCCATTTTCTTCGAGAAATGGTTCCATTTTCGTGATTAGGATACGGGATTTCTCGTTCAGAAATGGCACAAAGCTTTGTAACACTTTCGGATTGAATGCTGGGTTCAATGCTCGACGATGTGGTTTCCAAATCTCTTTATCTGTAGAAATAATTGTCGTTGGACTGAGGAAACATTTATAAATGTGTGGTCTATTTATGCAATCGTCGCTTGTCAAAATAATTCGAATATCTTCTGGCTCTGATACACCGATCATTAGCACTGGACCTACCCACATTTGAAATGGTGTTGTTTTCGCTTCGTAGAAAAAATTTGCAAGAATATTGCAAAATTCGTTATCTGATTTTCCTAAAAAGCGTGGCGTTACACCAAGAATTGGCACATCTTTGAGCGATTCGAATTTTCGCAGTTTTCTTTTGATGAACCATTTTCTTAACTCTCCATAGAGAATAAAAACGAATGCAACTATTAACACTGATATGATTCCATTAATCATTTTTGCTAACAAACTTTCACAGTCGTTATTTTTTTTTTGTTAGTGGGATTCTCAACGTAACCGTCTTCTTTGGGAGCACAACCAAAACTAAACCGGAGGTCAAATATCTCATATGTTTTATATATAATTTTTCAATTCATTCATGTATTTGTGTCATTTATATAAATTACAATGTCAACATAAATGCAAGTTTTATTATTAATGCTATCATTAGATGTGAATGATGAAGCATTACTGATATTTGGCTATCTTCAGATCAACGAATTATAATCATTCTGAATCATGGCGTTCATCATCATCGTCGTCATCAAACAAGAAGCGTTGCAAGCGCTTAAGCAACTTATGCAAATGCTAAATAATTTAACGGAAGCTTTTAACTATGATTCTTCTGGCTTGTACAATGCACAAGTCTACTATATCTTTTACAAACCATTGACCATTAAATTTGTTTATTGCATAGGTATTTATTAACAGCCAAGTTCAATAGTAATATGAGAATAATAGAAACAATCGTATTTTAAAACTAACATCAAAATCGACGTCTTTTTGTCAAGATAAAAGAGCACATGATGATCTGTTCAATAGCTTAGTACCAAAATTATGATTTATCTTTGAATTTAATTCAGAAACATATAATTTTTAATGTAGAATTCCATAGATACAGAAGAAAAAAAAACAATTCAATTATTTGCAATGAATATTAATTTTTTTTACATCGCATTTATCACTTAATGATTTGCAAAGTTTCTCTCTTCGAGTTGAAGTGCATTTTCATTGGATATTTCCAGAATGATATGCATTTTGAAATGAAGATCCTGAAATTTTAACTTGGTGGTAAATTTGTATCGTCGCAGTAAGTTGGCTAGAACGATTTTAGCTGACATCATTGCGTATTTCATACCGATGCAGTTTCTTGGTCCACCAGAAAACGGGATGTAAGTGAACGGTGGCCGTTTTGCAATATTATCTGGCAGAAAACGGTCCGGATCAAATTCAGTGGCGTTTTCGCCCCAAATTTTCGGATTTCGATGTAAATGCATGATATTAATGATGACATTCGCGCCCTTTGGTATGGTTCCTCTGGCGACCTCAATGTCAGCAGACGGTTTTCGGGCGATAAACGGAATCGGTGGAATCAATCTCATTGATTCTTTGATAACGCGTTCTAAATATGGCATTCTAGCCAAATGATCGTGAGTTACATCACAATCCGCCGATTCGAAAACCGATCGCAGCTCTTCAACAACTAGTTCTTGGTGATTTTGATTCATGGCAAGCATCAATAGAGTGCCAAACACTGTGATCGATGACGTATCCACACCACCGATGAAAAATAATCGCAAATGATCCAGAACAGTTTGATGGTCAAAAATTCCACTTTGTTCCAGCATCAAACACTTTTCAATTGGACTCGCGGTATTTTCTTCTTTAATTTTGTCCAAATAATCGATACCTTTTTCTCTTATTTCATCCACTTTTCGCTCATACAAAGATTCAAGCATTACATTTCCTTTGTTTACACAGTCTTGCTGTACTCGACCAGTTTTTGACCATTTAAATATCCAATCCAAATGGTACCAAAATCGAGCGATTCGACACTGTATGGTACTCATGGCTACTCTTAAAACTTCACTAAATGTTGCACCGGTTTCTTCATATTGCGCATTCATGTCCAAACCAATCAACGTTCTCGAAACTGTATCCATATGACCGATGAAAATTGTTCGATACATATCTCCGTTTTCTTTGAAAAATGGCTCCATTTTCGTGATCAGGATACGCGATTTCTCGTTCAGAAATGGCACAAAGCTTTGTAACACTTTCGGATTGAATGCTGCGTTCAATGCTCGACGATGGGGCTTCCAAATCTCTTTATCCGTAGCAATAATAGTTGTCGGACTGATCATAAATTTATAAATGTGTGGTCTATTGAGACAATCGTTGCTCGTCAAAATAATTCGTATATCTTCTGGCTCTGATACACCGATCATTAGCACCGGACCGAGCCATATTTGAAGTGGTGTTGTCTTCACTTCGTAGAAAAAATTTGCAAGAACATTGCAAAATTCGTCATCTGATTTTCCCAAAAAGTGTGGTGTTACACCAAGAATCGGCATTTCTTTAGGTGATTCGAAATTTCGTAGCTTTCTTTTGATGAACCATTTTCTTAACTCTCCATAGAGAATAAAAACGAATGCAACTATTAACACTGATATGATTCCATGAATCATTTTTGCTAACAAACTTTCACGATTGTTCTTTCTTTTCGAGTGGAATTCCCAACGACACCGTCTTATATAGACGGACGAAGCGACGACATAAACTAAATCTACCACCAAATATCCTATTCCTAATATATTTTTAGCACTACATGAAATGTAGAGCTACTAATCTGCGTTTTTTTTTTCTAATACTTTTTCGAGCCATGAACAGAATTAGAGTGGCTTTCAATTTTATGCTCATATTTTTTATTCAATTCAAACTAGTGGCAGTAACGACAAATAAGTGCATAGTATCTCGAAACGCTAATCAAATTTTTATTATCAAATGTTATTTAAAATTTACATTACTTTTTCCTTTTTTTGTATAAAACTCTTTTACCCTTTAGTATAAGTAATGGTTGAGATAAATTCTATGCGCATATTATTTATTTGATTTAAAGGAGTTACATTAATGAAGAATAATGAAGAAAAAGTTCATTTCGTGGATTTACAAATAATTTTAACCAAACTAAAATTACAATTGAAATTGACATTCAAATCACAAATATAATTCAAAGACTACTTTAATAAAATACATTTCATGTAGTGCGCCAATAAAATAGTTTGTTGTGGAACAACAAAATAGAAAAAGTATCTATAAACTCAAGAACGCAGAGCGGAGCAGAGCGACGCTCTGCGGTCTTGTTTTTTCATTTCATTTATTAACTACTATTTTATAATTATTATTTTTGGTTATCTTCAGTTCAACGGAGCGTATATAAGTACCAAGGATGACCTCCATAAAAGAGGCAGTTGTTTGAATAGGAAATAAACATAAATATTTTATTAGTGTTACACATGCAAATTTTCGTATAGTTTCTGTTGATTCAACAGAAAATAATTGTTTTGGAAGCGAGTACTTTTCATCCTGCTTTTTATGCTTCAAGAAGTAGTCGCAAAACTTAATGACAAGCCAAAAATCCTTTTTCGAATATTCGCTTTTTAAGCCAAGCTCAAAAACCCAATCCCTCTCAAAGGTCGATCATGCGTGCGTTGATCTATGCTCCTTATTAGAAGAATTATATATAATTAGAATAAAACGGCGTTCGAGCGTGTAAATGAAACTGAACGAAATTGAACAAATAACAATTTATGGGCGGTGGAAATATGATGATTTTGTGTGTATTACAATCGACGGTAGCGCCAGTGGTTGTATGTGCAGATCAATATAATTTGTCAACTCATTTCGTAACTAAAAAGCACGCCTAATTCGAAATTTTGAGTTACTTCCGCCCCTTGACAATTTATAATATAAATGTGTTATTATCGGTGTAGCACTATTGTGGCGTATTTCGTATTACACGTGTGGCATACATCGTAGAATTGATTTTCGCCATCGTGTGATTGACATAAAGAAATCTTTGTTGGATTCAAGATAAAACCTAAGAGCAGGAAGAGTGGTTTTTGAATAGAACAATAGTCACGTGTGGGACTGTTTATTGTACGGACGAAGACGAATAATCACACAATTGAACTGTTCCGAATGTTTTTTTTTTATCAATTTTATAGCGTTCGATTACGATACAGATTATTGTCATAATGCACATTTTGTATGCTCGTTCATTTCAATCTTTATCGCATTCAGGTAAAATAAATATTTGAAATATTTTTTTGGAAAAGAGAAAAAGGTAGTTTTTGTCTTTTAACCAGATTTTCCAAAAATAAAAGCCAAATAATTCATTTTAACTTTTCTATTAGATTGAAATACATTGTATGAGGCTCTTTGTTTTGCTGAAACAATTGGGATAACATTATTCTCACTTAATCTTAAATGGAATGAATCTGTTATAAATACGAGATGAATTCTCCGAGATATCAGTTGTGTTTTTAACTTGAAAACGAATCGAGCAAAATCAAGATGAAATTTGTCTACGCTCTTGTCGTTCTTTTCGGTTTGATTGTGAGTCGAATTGATTAGTAGTCATACTTTTTAATCTGTTAAAATGACTAAATTGATTTTTCAAATGTAGGTATTATCAGCCGCTTTTGCCGATCCTGAGCCCGAAGCCGAGCCAGAAGCCATGGCAGCAGCAATTGCTAGTCCCGGTAAAAAAGCATTCGCACGGCTTTCTAGTAGTTGAATTTATCAAGTGAATATCATTCAATTTAGAACCAGACCGAGGATGCAGTTGCTCAAAATGTCGATCAAGCTATAGACACTCATGCTATAGACACTCATGCTATAGACACTCATGCTATAGAC